GGGGGGGGGGGGGGGGGGGGGGGGGGAAGGAGAATTCGCTGCTGCCGCTGCCGGAGCCCAGCCCTGTCCTGCTTCTTTTGCCGTGGGTGAGCCTTTGCTCGTGAGAGCAGCCACTGAACTGGGACCTTATTGTGATAGATGAGTAATGCGATGGTTGATTCTCACAATTAAAAGGCAAATATCATGTATATATGTTGGGAGAAGTTTTATAGACTTATAGCTATGTTTTACCCCCCCCCCCCCCCCCCCCCCTAAAGGGTTAAAAGGCAAAACCTCCATTGAGTGGATGAGCACATGGAGGGAAAAATCCTTTGCTCTCGGTGCTGTAATATTTTCTCTCTTCAGTCTTCTGTTGTAGTTTTGATAAGGTTTTAATAAACATTTAATTTTTTTGAAGTGAGTATAATTTCTCACATTATTAACACCCTACCTCACTTAAAAAAAGGACTCTCACCATCTGCTCAGGTACCCCGGGATCCTGAGCCCTTTCCCCCTCCCAGGGAGCCTCTCCCTGCCGTGTTCAGGAGCCAGGCTGCCACTGCTCCGGGTTTTTTGCTACACTGTAGCCCACACCCCCTGCCTGCTGGGATGCCCCACGGTTCCAGCTACAGCTGCGGAGTTTCTGATACATCTCGTCTACCACTCCGGGATTTTGTTCGTCCCTGTTCCAGCTTGCTGCTTCTGAGGTCCCTGCTACAGCTCCTTCTGCTGTGCAGAGGGGCATCAGGATCGGCTGCCCCTGGGGGTTTGTAAAGGAAGCCCCTTTCCCATCCCTTCTGCCGGCTGTGCCCGCCATTGTCCATGTGCAGAGAGACAACCGATCTCGTGCCACAGCGCCCCCTGCAGCCACAGGGAAATCGTCTCACCTGCCCTGCCCAGCTGGGGAGCCATCAGCGCCCCTGCCGGCTGTGACCATAAGTACACCAAAGGGGAAGGTGCCTGACAGCTGAGAGAAGGCTGTTACTGAGTTTCTGGTTTTGTTTGTTGTTGCCGTTGTTGTTGTTTGTTTGCCTTGTTTTGTTTGCCTTGTTATACATACTAGTAAAGAACTGTTATTCCTTTTCCTATGTCTTTGCCTGAAAGCCCCTTAATTTCAAAGTTACTTGGAGGGAAGGGGGTCATATTCTCCATTCCAAGGGAGGTTCCTGCCTTCCTTGGCAGACACTTGTCTTTCAAACCAAGACATATGAAGAACTGTATTTTTAATGTATCATAATAAGCATAACTTATTTGCAACATTTCCGTATCTCAGAAAAACATAATGTTAAAGTTGGGGAAATATATCATCCCCAATTCATTCAACAGTAGTTTTGTAGAAGTTTTAAGAATCAATTAAAGAATTGTGCAAGAAAAGTGCCAGAAGAATACACATCTCCTTTAGAGGCCATTTTCAAGTGTAGAATAAAGCATGCCCTTTTAAGGTCAAATTAAGACCACCAAGAAAAATTAGCATTAGTACCATCCCATTATTATTTTGGACATTGTAATCTATAAATAACTGTGTATTATTTACTTGACTGGTATCTCAGTGGTTTAATTATAACTAAATGCTTTTGTAGTTTGTTTTGCTTTAAGTACAGTAGTGAAATACTTTAATGTAGAGTTCTGAAGAGAGAGTTTTTGAGCATCCTCTAATTTTCCTTTACCCTGATGAGATCATCTTAATATATATACACACACACACATATAATAAAGATAAAGACTATTCTGCTCTGAACACTGAACGACAAAGTCCTTTTAGGGAGTTGGAGAGGGAAAAAAAAATATGCGGATAGGGAGGTCAAACCTTTCAGCATTACCCTTTTATCCTCTTCCTCCTCCCTCCCCCCCCCCAACATAAGATGGAGGACATAAGATTTTTATATTCCTTTCATGTCCTGTTAACTGTAACTTGTCTTTTCCTAACACTTTCATCCTTTAATCTCCAGGAAGAATTTTTATACTGCACTATGTTTGAAATGCATCATAATAAAATATAAGTTATGGGCAAAGCTTCCCTCCCTAAATTCTATATCAAATAATATTAGCTGTGCTATTACTTTACTAGAAAGAATCGTTCTGCTACAAGTTTGACATCTCTATTTGCACATTTGAAATGTTTACTTTTTTTCTTAATAATGCAGTGATGCAAATGAAAGGATTTTCTAATCAACCTTCAATGTTTCATCCTGCTGCAGTATCCTTTAAGAAAAAAAAAAAAACAAAAACAAAAACAAAAACAGTAAGGCCAGTCAGCATATTGGTTCTTTTCACTATTGCTTTGTATTTGGTTGCACTGGGTCTGGCTGGGATGGAGATAACTTGCCTCATTATAGCCCATATAGTGGAGCGTCCACTACACATACTGAGGCCCTGCTTTTCAGGAAGTGGCTGGACATTTGCCTGCTGATGGGAAGTAGTGAATTCATTCTTATTTTTGCTTTGCTTCCACATACAGTGTTTGCTTTTTCTTATTAAAAATGCCTTTATCTTGACCCACGAGCTTGTCCATCTTATTTTCTCTCCCTGGCCTGTTGATGCAGAAGAATGAGAGAGCAACTGCATGGAGGGCTGGCAGGCAACCAAGGTCAAACCACCACATTGGTTTTGTTTTAAATAAATTTTAGAAATATTCCATGGATACAAAATAGCAAGAAATGGTAAGGAGGCAGTGTCAAACTAGTGTTCTTCAGGCCTTTTACTACCAGCCTTCGTTTTTTCCTGTGTTATCAAAGATGGCTTCATAGTTATTCTTTCAAGTCACTTGACAAGACCTTTAGTGTTTTAATCAATTCTTGTGCTATTTTAGTGGTCATATTTGAACATTTCTTCCAACTCAAGGGAATATCAGTATCATCATCACTTCTTCTAGAAGAGGTTTTCATCTGAACCTTAAATTGACTTCTAAAAGTTTCCATACATATGCATCTTCTTCAGCATTCTAATAATATTAACTGTAAAGCCCTGCGCTATTTGCGGAAACTGATTTGTAAAAGCATTTATCATCTGCAGGTTCTGTTAAAGCCAGTCCCTCTAATAAGCAGATGTTTCATTAGCTTTAAAATTAGGTATGTCTAATATTCTGCCTAATTTTTTTAACCTTAATGACTTTGGCACCTGGCTTTTACAGTAAAAGGCTCCTCCTACCTCCTTTCTTTCATCTATTTCCAGACTCTCTCTGTTCCTTCATATTTAATTTTCCTGCAACTTGTGTTCGAGCTAATTTCCCTGTTGGCAACTCCTCTATGTATAAATCTTCCCTTCACAATGTATACATTAGACACCTCAAACGTGTGTGTGTGTGTGTGTGTGTGTGTGTGTGTGTGTGTGTGGCAATTTAGCTTAAGACTTCTGCTATCACTCTTGCTTCACCTTTGCTTTCTGAGTCAAGTGGGATTAGGTATGGGAATGTTTCTTGCTTCATCCACCCATCCATTTGTTTGTTTTTTTTTTTTTTTCCATCCTGGCTGTTTTGTCTAGAGGTCAGCCTGAGTACATACATCCTATTTGAAGTAGGAAAAAAAAAAAAAAAAAGCCAAGCAAACCTTTATTTAGTTCAAATGCAGTTAAGCCTGCCACATTTGTTTCAGACTGAGCCTGAACAGTTAAGTTGTTATCACTAGGTTCTGATGGCTTGCATGGCTCCAGTAAAATCTTGTTTCATTTAGAAGATACTTCAGCCCCTCTGCAGGACTTAAATGACACCAGTTCCCCTCCCTTCTTCTGTGAAGGGGTCCAATCCTTCATAAGGAGCCAACATACCTCAGTCAAAAGAAAGAGTAACCAACAGGGCAACAATGAGCTCCTGTTTTGTGAACAACTCTTAACCAGTTTAAAAGCAACCTCTTCAGTTTAATGAGATTATGTCCTCTACTGCATGTCTGAGCACAACTCCTACTACCACTGAAAAGTTTTCCCTCCCCCCACAAGAATTTTTCTTAAGCAGGTATGTATCTTAGCCTTCTCTCACACAAGCTGTGTACTGCATGTAAGTACTTACATCTGTGGAAGCTCAAAGCTGAATGCATATTCATGCCTTCCTGAATGAATGGTGTGAAGGCCTTCTTCGGAATTGTCATCATCTAGGAGGGAAAAACTCAATATGCTATTCCACCTGTGAACATTTTACATAGCACAATATATTATATAGGTTTCTTTTCCAGAATAAGAGGGATTTATACATTCTTTAAGATACTAAGAATACAGTGTCTCAGAAACAAGTCTCTCCAGTCCATTTGTATTAACTGCTAGATGTATAGCTGCAGAATTTTTAAGATTAGGTGAGATTCCAAGACTCATCTGACATAAAAGCAGAAGTTAACTTGTTTTAATTTATGATCTTGTGAAAAACAGAGTTCACTCCTTAGAATTTTTAAAAGTTTAATACTAATAGGATAAAGAAGGACAAAATTTCCAGCACTGGGGTGCTCCCGGCCAACAGCCAAAGAACACACCAGTACATACAAACAGTGTTATCTTTATACCTTTACATCTGGCTGAGGTGCATGCATATTCATGTGTTTCATACATTATTCAAACATTCTTGCCGAACTTTCTCATGTTTTAGGAACTTCTTTGTTTGGCTTCTTCACACTCCGGCTTATCTGCATGACACATGACATCCCGGGTGTCAGGTCAATATATTTTATTTCTTCTTGTGAGATACAAAGTTCTTAAATCCAAGTACTGACATAGCTGTAACCACTGCCATTTCAAGGTCTGCCTGAAAGATCCATAATGGAAACTGTTTTCCGATATGACTTCTAGTTAAAACATAAAATGAAATAGAGCTTTCTAATAGTATTAAGTGATCTTAGTATTTTCTGCTACATTAATTGATTACATTTAGTAATTCAGCTTCCTCCTATCGCCTGCCTAGCAAGTGTCCAAAAATTGATTTTTTAAAAAAGTGCGCAAGCACCACCTAGAAAGTACCAAACAAATTCAGAGGCACAAGAAGTGGCAAGCTGTCCAATTAATGTTGTTAAGAGTTAATGTATCAAAAATTCAAAATTTAGCTCGATTTTGCTTGGATGGCAAAGACCCAAACATTTCCTAATTTCAATGAGAAAGCTGACCTTATTTTATAGTCATGATTTCTTGTATTGCTTTAAACGCCCCAATAAATTTGTGGTTTGTTCTGATATAATTACCATGAACCCAGAAAAAAAACCCTGCTGATTCCAACAGAATAGACAGTTATTTAGATAAAACAATTGAACATCTCATATACAAAAGGGTTGGCATAATAAAGGCACATATAGTTGGATTACACAAAAGACCCTTCCTGTTGTTAATAGTCTGAAGCATCATGAAGGAACACTGCTACATTTTAAGATTTTTTTAGTTCCCACTGTTCTACAAAAGTGCTGATGCTCCAATTTCTTTAGTGCACCAGAAATACTGAAACAAACCTATGCAAAAATATAAAACCCCTAGAACACTATTTACATAAATGCACCTGCAGCATGTAATGTCACAAAATAACAATCTTCAATACACTGAAAGAGCAAAGCAATGTGTATAATGCTTTTATTTTTTGTTGTTGTTGTTAAAAAAAACGCTTGGAGGGCTTTCAGCGGAATTATGGTAAGCAAGTACTGAGCTGTCAATCACAGACTAGGCTGGAGCAGGACTGGCCTAAACAGGCACGAGCACATCCCCTGCCAACCACTCATATACATACAGTATACATTACACCCCACTACGTTTGCTCAGCAACTCCGCTCACAGTCTCGCCTGACTAACGCAGAGGTAAGGAGAGAGGAGGCGGGCATCACCCACGCCTCACCATCCGCTCTCCTCATACCACAGGGCCATGATGCCAGCTTGCCCCGTGCAGACACCCCAATCCTGCACTTCTCTCAGGAGCATGTGCTGACCATTACTGAAAAGCGATTACAGACAGTGCTGGCCAGGGGTGTGGGCCAGGAGAGATAACCGAGTGAGCGATGCAAGAGGCTCCGGGGCCGTGTGTCCCAACGGCCGCCCCTGCTCACAACTCCTTGCTGGCCCAGTGGATGTGTACGGCAGGAGCTCGAATACTTCTGTCTGTCCCCAGAGGTGGGCATTCCCAAGAAAGGCACCGTGCCCTCTGCAGCCACTTCGCTCCGCCCCCCAGCACACACTAGAGAGTGGGCAAAGGAACTTCCCCCACGTCCCAGGCTCCTACAACCAGCGGCTGGCATCACCTTAGCAACAGGCTAACAAACCCCAGCAGGCCAATGACAAGGCGGGGACAGGGAGTGGTCTTCCAGACTATGGTAGGGTACAAGGCGTAGAGTTAAACTCCACTCTGTGCAGCAAGTGTTCACAGTCCTGCCCCTGCAGCCAAGGGAAGGACAGTGGTGTCCCGGGACAACTGCTTAAGATTGTATGTGCTGCACATGCAGCACCAGTCTTGCTTCTGGTGTTGGAACGTGTCAGATCTGTCCCTTCCCTGCCACCTTTTGTTCCCTTTCCAGACAAAACCAAGCACCTACTATCGAGGTCAGCATTTGGATCTACAGGCCACATACAAAGTCATTGCTGCTGCTTAAGCTGACAGAAGCATAGGATCTCCTTCTTACTCGTAAGGATACATCCTGCTATGAGTGGCTCCTGCATGCTTGCATGTTTCTGTCATCTGCAAGCCAGAGGTGAATGAATTTTTCGCATGAGAGAATTCTTTTTCTAAGGCAGCAGTATAAAGAACATTTGAACTAGAAAGACATCTCATGAGTGACCCGAGCTTGCTTGCATCACGGTAACATAATTAAAATCGATAGCAACTGCTATTTGTAGAGGATCTCTGCAGTAAATATATTTCAAATTAAAAAACAAAACACACACACAAAAAACAACACCTCCCCACACACCCCCAACAAAGTCAAAACAACACACCAAAACACCCAAACAAATTATGTACTCAGTTTTAACATTTTCTCATTCTAGGAACTGAATCATCATCACCACCACCTGACGTGTGCAACCAATCTGCAGAGAGAGGAATACTCCCTCCCTTCTTCCGGGGACTGGCCCCAAACAGGATTGAACCGCTTCTAACAAAGGGTGGAAATTTCAGAAATAACAAGCTTAGAGTCCTTTGTATTTTCACGAGGTAACTATGCAAACAATAGATTAGCAAATTTAAGACCCACAATCCCACTCACAATGTAATACCCCATTTCCATACCCCAAAATAAGAGAATTTGCAGGGCACTTTCTATAGGGGCTTAGCAGACCAGGTTTTCATTGAATGCAGGTTTCAGAACTCCTCAACTCAGAAGCGATGCTCCATTCATACAACCATGATCTCCTATTTGGCCTTTCAGACAGATTTTTACATCTGGGTCCCCCATAGAGGAGTTGAATAAAATAAATTAAAGTAATTTACAAGTATACTAGTTTAGAACAAAGGAAGAAATGGAAAATTATGGGTGCGATGGTGATAGCATATCAAAGTAATCCACAGGAAATCTTTTATCTGCCAACAATGAATCAACCTCAAAAATAATTCTGCAAGTCAGACCTGTATCTGTTATGTGTCAAAACGTCTAATGGTACATCTTAATTACACTTATGATTCGATAGGATGCTACCAAGAAAATAATTTACCACATATCTGGTTTTGACTCAACAGCTATTTTCCCCACAGAGAAACAAATCACACTAATATCGCTAAAAAAAAAAAAAAAAAGGCATTGTATATTACAAAACACATATTAAAAACCAATGCAAATCCTTATGAAAAGACTGTTAAAAGGCGGGTATTTTTTAAAAGTCCTGTTTTCAGGTACTTTGAAAATGCACCTCAACATGCTTTTAAGTAAACATTCAAATAATCAAAAATACAACCTAGGAATGTAACCAGCATTTCCTCATCTTTAGAAATAGTGAACACTCTGAGACTACATATGAAGGAGGGATAAACCAAGCAAAGATGCATCTTTTTCTGGAAATATGTCTGCATATAGTGAATGAATAAGCAAAAAGCTTACCTCTTGCATGCCCGACTAGAACGTCCTTATAGTTAAAATACTCTACTTCTTCGGTGTAATTTTGTGTATAGGCAGTGTTGGATCCAGCATTTCTAGATTCGCTCCAACGTACTTTTGCATGTCCTCTTGCATGAATTTTAAGAGCTTTCACTCTAATTTCCCCAGTAACTTCTAAACTGATCCTTCCTGAGACTGTGTCCCCGCTAGAATACACGGGGATATTGCTGTTACTGAGACAGTCAAAGCTTATTGACAAAATCTTCACCTTCCCCAGCACCATGATTTTTAACGAAGTGTATAAAAATATACTGCAAGGAAAACAAAAACGCGACCTTCACTTTACACTGAACAACGCCTCTGCTGCGTAGAGCGTGCCAACAAGATCAGCGTGTCCCCTACGAACGCTTCATCGGAATTACTGAGAAGACAACGGCAGCCACCCAACACTGCGATATCCGTACAAAGGCAGCTAGCCCGCACGCCGCCAGCTCACTTTAAGAACAGCTTTGTGAAAAACAACCACCCCCGCGCATGCGCGAAGCGAGTCGCGGCGGCGGTCCGCTTGCCTGTCTTTCCTGCCGTGTTCGTTTTTCTTGTGTTATTGCTTCCGTCTCATGCAGAGTCAGAGCACTCCCTGGTGGAGTCAGGGCTCTGCTACGAGTTCGCAGTACGGTATTGAAATACGTACTGAAGAACTGAGAGAAAAAGGACGGGGGGGGGGGGGGGGGGGGGGGGGGCTTCTTTCCCATCTCATCTCATCTGATCTCATCTCAATCATCTCGCTGCCTGGCACGGTCTGGGGATCCTGGCTGGCTGGTTGGGAGATGTCTCGGAAGAAGCTGGCAGCTGAAATCGGGCAGCAGTCGGTGGGCACCAGGCCCCAGATTCTGGCAGCAGATGGCACGGGTTCTCCCCCTCAGCCATGGGTTGCCTGGCTAACAGTAAAGATTGCCACGATTCTGTCGGCACGTTGCTCAGTTACAGACCTTGCCCAAAGCTTTTGTTCGTGAAGGGGCTAATCCTGGGCAAATTATAGGCAGGGCCTCGGCAGGTGAGCGGGGCACGGCTGCCTTTGCCGGCCTCACCCCCCCCCCCCCCCCCCCCCCACCCCGCTCCATTAACTGAGGAGTGGGGTTACAAACGCATGGCATTATGCAAAAGTAAACATTTAAACCTCTATCAAGGTGAAGTTTTCTATTTTAATACTTTTAAATGCAATTAATATAAATCTTAGTTTGGGGTCTGGCTTGTTTGCAGCTGATGTTGGGTTTTGCCCCCTTTTTTCCACTTCTTCCATTCATGGAGTTCAGACAGGAGAGTCACACTTCCTGTCCTTCTGGTTCTGTGTTCATTGTCACCATGTACCTCTGTCAGTGTGGATCTGCACAGAATTTAAAGTGCATAGCAGTTACCTTTGATGCCTACCTTTGGCAGGCCCTTGAAGATCTGCAGAGTTTCAAGACCCAAATCCTGCTAGCCAAGTGGATATTCATATGGATTTTTTGTATATGTGTTGATAAGGAAGGGAATACTCTCACATAATTTGGATATGGCTCTATAGTGTTTTCTCATTTATTTTTTTAATACAGATGATGTATTTTGTATACTTGCTAGGTAACGGGTAAGGTCCGAACAACCTCAACGATAAAATATTTCGATTTGCTTGTGTAACACACACCAGCACCCCTCGGCATTATATATGGACTACAGACAGCATAGCCGTAACTTGCCTTCTTTTCTCAATAGAATTGCTGTCTCTTGCCAAGCCATTTTTGGACATACAACTTCAGAATAACATGGTGTGAGAGACGGTCTGAAATTCCCCTCATTTTGCCTCACGACCATCTCAAAGACAGACATCACGACCACTGAAAAGACCCTAGTTGGAATTCTGGCTTTGCTTGAGATGGTTGCTCGCCAAGATCCTGCGGCCTGAGCGGAGCTTCTGGCCTGCCAAGCTATTGTTTGCAGGTGTGTTTGCTGCCACGAGACGCTGAACCTACTGAAAAGGTGAAGGGGCACTTTGCCCTTCTTTGCTTGCACCCACTTCGCAACAATAGCCCTGGAATTTCCCCACCTCTCGGCTTGGCTGGTCTTTTCCGGGGTAACTTTTTGGTGGTCCCCACGGAAGACCCTTCATCTGTTTTACAACAACCGTGATGGATGGACTGAGATGGGAGAAGCTTCTCCCTCAAAGACTGAGATATGAAACCCCTATATGGAGGAGCTCCCGCTCCTCCCAAGGACTGAGACTGAAACCCCTAACCTGGGGGAGGTGAGCTGACCAAAGCGAGATGTTTGCCTATAGGTGTGACCATTGGACCAAGAAGACAATGGTTTTCGCCTACTGCTGAGTATATGGACTTTTTGTAACCTTCCTCAATGCCTTCTTTCACCTCAACAATTTCAATAGACTATTCTTTATTGCATCTGATTCGATTTCAAGACCTGTCCCCTTCCCCCACCAAAAAGGACTATAAAGAACCTTCAGTTTAACCAGCATCTTTGAGATCTCCCCTGACGTAACCAGGCAAACTTCGTTGACTGGACTTTGAAGGACTTCGTCTTACTACGTTTGGTAGCTATACTCTCTCTCTCTCTCTCCCCCCTCTCTTTTCCCTATTCTTTCCCTTTTTTTTTCCAGCCCCCCTTAATGCATTTGCTGTGGTTATTTCAATAAAGGTGCATTGGTTTTGATTGATACTGCAAATTCTCCTGTCCATGTTGGTTTTTAGCACTCTGAGATCATTTAACGAACTGTCACGAATTCCGTTCCTATGAGTGGATCATGACACATGGCTGCTGTCATGATGTGGTATGTGTTCTAAGCATTTCATGCCATTAGGTGTGGTAGCTTTACCTTGGCTGGATACCAGGTGTCCACCAAAGCTGCTCTATCACCTCCTTTTATCAGCAGGGCTGGGGGGAGGTATATGGCTTGGCTAATTCTACTGAGAGAGGAAATATTTTGTTCAGCTCTATCATGTGGAGTTCGTATGTCTGAGACTTAATACACAACAGACCTCCCAAACTTCATCAGCCAAACGGCCTGTTTTATTGTTCTGACCACCTTTTATAGGCAAATCAAAAACTCCCGGTACTATACAGCCATTGGTCTGATCACTACACCCCCCAGACTCTCAATCAGTCAAATGCTTGTATTTTAGAAGAGTTCTTGGTTGGAACCTCTGTCAGTCAGCCTAGAGGTTGGTTTATGGAGCTGGGCTGGATTTGTTACTTATAACTGGATTAATGTTAACCACAGATTACCTTATACTGCAACGCAACTCCAACAAGCCTGGAATGGGCAA